TGTATATAAAGCATTGTTTTCACTTGTGTTTCTCCTTCTTTCCCTACCTTGTCATGAAATGTGGTGATAGTTGTCCTCTGCATCGGCAGGTCTGGGCATTATTGCCGATACAGATTTAACTATATATTACTACAGTAGCGACGCTAGATTTAGCGACTTCCCCGCCGATGCACCTGTGATAGTGACCAGCGATGGGCTTGTGACGTGGGAGGTCGCAGGTCTAACAACAACAACGTGTGATCTCGGTGAGCCAGCCACAAGGAATAATAATTATTGAATGCCTCTGTTGTACATATCAATAGAAATGTCATAGGATGCCAGATTTTATTCATTTGACTTGCTCATCTCATTTGCATTTTAATTTTGTACTTATGTTCTTAACAACTAAAAAAACTAGATTGATCTCTTTCTTTATTTGGTCAGAGAATGATTTTTATTCTTTATTTCCTGTTATTTTTGTCTTCTTCGTTTAAATTTTGTTTCATGCAGTATTAATGGTAAATTTTAATCGTATTGGGAAGGGCCAAATATAAACCACCAGGTTTCCGGCCCTCCCATATGCATGTCTATTTATCTTCAATAGTTATATTTATGGGTTCACCACAAAGTGGTGAAACCATATTGCTTTTTCTGATGTTTCTTCTCCTCCTCCTCCTCCTTCTTCTCCTGCCATCTTTTAAATGGATTCAGCTTCTTCATTTGGGGGCCTAATGACCTGAATTTGGTACGGAGGTACAGTGGGCAAATACCCCTAGGCGTTTTTTTTTCATTTTTGTGATACAGGCTTTTAGAATGGTTTTATGGCTGTGTTATAGCAAATGTTTTACTGTGTTAGTGTTAAGTGTTTACCACATTTGGGCATGAGTCATCAGAATGGAATGCAGGGCATCAACCAATGCAGCAGCTTTGCAGCTTTCTTCTATTCTTCTTGCTGATTGGCTGTTGGGATTTAGCTGGCTTAACTTCATTAATACCTGCACAGAGCCATGCCATACTGACAGTATATCTGTATTCAAGTGTTTTGGTAGGTATTTCAAGCTTTCCTGCTCCAGCATTAGAATGCGGGGCATGAACGCTCCTTTTTATCTTGAAAATCAACAGTTTTCATTATGCAATCAAAAATCCTAACCAATAATGTAGGGAATAGCTATCCAACTGTTTTACTTGTAGTTGTATGTTACTTTATACTATAGTTATATCAATGTAAAGCATTGTTTTCCCTTGGCGTTGTGTAATTTTCTCATTCTTTCCCTGCCATGTCGTAAAATGTGGTGAAGCCATTGCTGTATTTGCTCCAAAGCAAATGTCGGCCTTTCTACTTCATTTTATCTTTTGAGTGCAAAACAAACAATAAACAAACAAAATTTTGGTAAATAACTAGATAACAGGTTATTTGTACACAACCAAAGAATCGAATCGATAAGACGACGTGACGTCTTGGTGACTTTCTCTCACCCACCCACCCCCTAGCCAGAGTGGCACTGCAAGTAGATTGATGAATATTTATAGATGTGTGGCTCATAAAATATACTCCACTCATTAATCCTGATGAAGCGGTATAACTTAGTTACGTTTGGGGCCGCATTCCTCGCACAGCATTGCGAAGTGCGAAGTAGAACCAGTTAATAGTCATGACTTTCACACTTCGAAGTGCGAAGTAGAACCAATTAATAGTCATGACTTTCACACTTCCCATAATGCCTAGTAAAGATCACGGATAAGACCACCCCCTCCCCCTTCCTCAATTTCCAACAAGATCCATCGACAAACTGGTCAACTATATTGTTTTGAATTATTTATCTAGAATAAAGCGCATGCCATAATTGCATTTTTGTTGGAATTAGAGAAAATGAGTACTTTCTGTCGTTCTACCTTCTACCGAAGACTCTCCTACTCGCACGGTCGCATCACATATATCTGCATCTTACGTCATATCCGTCATCTTTATAGGCATTATGGGAAGTGTGAGAGTCATGAATTGCAGCGAGGAGAGTTGACAGTTGAGAGTTTCTAAGATGTCTCTTTATTTCTGCAGAACCAGCGCTGTTTCCCTTTGATT